CCTGAATGGGCCCAGAAGTGCCCAGTGGAAGAGGGGAGATACATAATTCAGTAGAGGGTCTGGTCATCCATAAGGCTGAGTCCACCATGGGTAGTAGCCCTGATGGTTGACTTCGGCAGCATATGGACTGGTGTGCTGGGGACTTTAGTAATAAAGAAAATAGCTAATAATAATAATTAAGGGCCTCCCTGGCACAAGGGATTACGTCGCAGTACTATGAAGCTTTATCGGTAGCCACTGCAAGAGGAGTTCTATCCCCGGCCAGAGAGCTGACCCATATGGCCCAGCAGACCTTTCCTGTCTTGCCCGTTGCTCCCCTCAGCAGTGTATTTCAGTCTGCCTATTCTGCTCCCCACTCTGTCTCTGGTGAATCCTCTCACCATCCCTCACCTCTGACCCAGCTCTTGTATGCATAAATAAATAAAATAAATCTTTAAAAAAAAACAGTACTGGCCCTCACTGGTGGCACAAAAGGTTAAAGCACAGCACTGGGAAGCTAAAAGCCACTTCTGCATGGGTTCCATCCCGCCTGCCGCCTGCCCCGGAGGTGACTACATGGTGTGGCAGACCTCTCCTGGCCCGCCTGCTGCTCCCCTCAGCAGTGTACTTCGTCGATCTGCCTGTTCTGCTCCCCACTCTGTCCCTTGTGAGTCCTCTCACAGCCCCTGCACCTCTGGCCTGTACCCCAGTTCTGTATGCATAAATAAATAAATCTTAAAAAAATACTAATAATAAAGCATACACACAAACATGTACAGGGTCATTATGTGCCAGATGCTTTGCTAAACTTTAAAAATATATTATTGTATTTAATTTTAACTACCCTGAGGAATAAATGCTATTGTTTGAGGCAATTATACCTTAATATTTGAAAACATGTAGCCAGACTGCCTGGATTCAAATCCTAAGTGCTGATTATAAGAGGGATGACCCTGAGAGAAGTTATTTAAGCTTTCTGAGCTCAACATTCTCATATGTAAAATGGAGTAGTGAGAACATGAAATTGTGTGTCATGAATAAGTCAATATGTGGGAAATGCTTGGAATAGGAGTTGGCATAAAAGACATATTTAATGACTTAATTATTTTCATTATTTCTATCTAATAGAGACCAAAGCAAAGAAAAATCAGAGGTTTGCCCATGGTCTCACACCCAGTGAGGAGCAGAACTAGGGGACCTGCAGGTCTGTCTTTGTGACACATGTGACCCACCACGGCTGATTCTAGCTCTTCAATCTTCTCCCTCAGCCCCATTCACACCACTCTGCTTATCCTTCACTCCTAATCAATGTGGCCTAGTCTTAGAAGCAACGAAGGCAATGTGAGATGCTAGAAGGAAGACTCTAAAAGAACTGACTTTCTAACTTATTTAATCTCTGATTTCACTACCATACATAGAAAAAAATTCCAAATGTGCTTTTTTTTTTTTTTGGAAAAGATATATTATTTATGCATACCAAAGCTGAGGTACAGGCCAGAGGTACACGCCATGGGGTCACCTCCCTGGCTGAGGATTGACCTCATACTACAGTGGCTTCACAGTACTGTGACTTAATCCCTCAAGCAACCAGGTAGGCCCCCCAAATGTGTTTTGATATGGGAATGTACCCTACATCCAAGAGAATAGGGCCTTTTTTCAAGAGGGAAGGATCTGGGCCTTTTTAATGAGGCCTCACAAGTTCTCTCCTTCAAACCCTGAGACAAGGCAAAGCCTGGACTGCCCAATAATACCACACCCTTAGTTAAGTATTTCTGAATACAGATAGATAAAGGGACATAATTGCAGGTAAAAAAACAATCTGAGGGCAAACCTGACAAGAGAACCTCATAAACCAAGATTACCACTCTGCTCTGGGCATGCCCTGCTGCCTATGAGGCACTAGGAAGATTATGGACTTTTAAGCTAGACTGATGGTGTGACCTTAGGAGAAGTTATTTGAATTTTCTGTGATTCAATTTCCTCATCTAAAAAATGAGGCTAATAAGTACGCTTACCTCATACTGTTGACATGAGGAACAAATAAGATTTTTGTTTCTGCAGGTTCTGGCAGAGAGCAAACAGCCACACTAACCACTACAGATTTTTTTTTTTTTTTTGAGTTGGCACTTCGAAGATGCCTACTTCTAGATCATTCCGGATCATAGATATGATGCATTTGCTTTTTCAGGCATAGCTCTGGCTCTTCCTAGTGCCTCATAGGCAGCAGGGCATGCCCAGAGCAGAGTGGTAATCTTGGTTTATGAGGTTCTCTTGTCAGGTTTGCCCTCAGATTGTTTTTCTACCTGCAATTATGTCCCTTTATCTAGCCCACAGAAGGAAATACATTCTACATCAGGACCCACTCACACATGTATCTATAATTGAAACAAAGCCTTGGAGCCTCCCTTGTTGGTGCAGTGGGTTAGGTTGTGGTACTGCAAGCTAACGGCAACCACTGCAGTGAGTTCAATCCCCAGCCCCGGGGATGACCCATATGGCGCAGCAGACCTATCTTGCCCGCTGCTCCCCTCAGCAGTGCACTTCAGTCAATCTGTCTGTTCTGATCTCTACTCTGTCTCTGGTGAATCCTCTCACCCCCACACCTCTGGACTACACCCCAGTTCTTGTGTCCTCAAATGAAATCTTAAAAAAAAGAAAGCCTTAAAGCAGAATAATACTTACCATTACCAAGGCCAATGTACTCTGATGTTTTCTATTTTAATCTATCCCATTAAAAAAAATCATTCAACAAATACTTATGGATGGCCGAATATGTGTTAGGTTTTGGGGGTCTATCTACAGTTGAATGAGATGAAAATCCTTGCCATCCTGGAACCTGCATTTACTGGAAAAAGGGAGTGAATATAGCCCACGTGCAAAATCATAGCATTTGAGGGGGTAACTGGGTAAATGTCAGAGGGAAAAAAGCATGGAAGGTCAGGGAAGGCCAAGGGTGAGCTCAAGATACCTTCGCCTCACTATACTGGGCTGTCACCCAGTCTGAAAGCCCCTACTCTTGATCCTGCCAATTCAGTGTCTCCCTGTGTGTTTGAAGGCTTTCTGCTAGAGTGTGCACATGAATGTGACTGTGTGCACACATGTTTATGTGTACAGGTATGCACAGATGTGTGCTTGCATGTGTGCAGGTGCATGTCCATCCCTATTCACTTACTCACTGGGAAGACTTTGGAGACAGGAGGCAGAGCCCCCAGAGGAGGCAGGGCCCCCACATGCAGCTATGCAGGGGTTCCCTATACAAGTTTTCTCTGCAAAGGTGGCCTGGAATGGGACCTGTAATGGGGCCCAGGCACTGCTAGCCAAAGCTATGAGTGCCAGACACATGTCCTGGCTTGAGTCTTTAGTCTACAGGAAGAATCTTTTTATTATTGGTACACCCAGAGCAGGCACCTTTTGTAATTCATTAGGCCAGAGGGAATGCTGGCTCCATCTGTATCAAGGTGCTCTAAAGTGCCCTTATGAAGAGAGGAGGCACTGCACAAAAACAAAAAATCACTCTCTGGGGAAAATCCAGTGAACTGGGCATACCTGTCAGGGTGACTGATGTGCATCTGGGATGGGATTGGAGCCAGCTCTGAAGTAGCTGGGGCCACTTGGGTAGCCTCCATCAAGGGCATTTGGAACTTGGCACTGCAATGAAATCTTTGGATACTTCCTTTAAGTTGAAGGGATACATGAAAATGTTACTAGCAGGGGCAGCAAACTCATTACCTATGGGAAAAGCAGCCAAACTCTGCTAATGAATAAGTGTAATTGATCACAACAGATGACTTGGTGGACCTTCCAGATACGCTTTTAGCAGAGTGGACAGTTTTTCATTCAAATGCAAACTCACCCAGATATGATCTAATAATGGAGATTTTGGAACAATCCCAGGATCAGCAATTTCTTCTTTTTTCCTCCTTCACTGAGAAGGAAGGTATCTTAAGTTCCTGATCACAGTATGACCCAACCAGACACTAATTTATGCTTTCCCTCTAGCTGAGAAGCTGGACAGTCCTTGGATGCAGTCACATCCCTGTCTGTCTTTCCTCCTTTGCCCTTCTCGCTTCCTGATCTATGAGGAGCCAGATGACTGGGTCCAACAAAGCTACCCATCTACTCAAGAAATATTTACTTGAGCACTTAGTATGTGCAAGTACAGTGCCGACCACTAACTACACAGGGCTCCAAAGACAGCCAAGACCAGATACTGTCCTCGGAAGCGAGGACAGACAAGAGGGAAAAACAACAAAGGAAAGAGGCTCCAGTGGAGGTCTTGGCTCTCCCCATCAAACACTTAATCTTCAGTTCCTCCTTTATCAAACGAAGGTACTGCACTAGACAGGATCTCTGGGCCCTAGGCCAGCTTGAAAACTTTATCATTCGAAGCCCTCCCTTTCCCATTCAGACTCCCCTGATCTCAGTAAGCAGTTGGACGAGGTGCAGCCTTCTAGGAAGAAAGAGGGTCTGCAAAGGCAGACAGCACTATAGATTATGTACCCCTTCCCCTCTCACTAGGGAGAGGCTTTCATTTGGCCCAAACACAGATATAGGCTGAAGAAGATGAAAGATAAAATCAGAAAACTAAGTGGAAGATTTAGACTTCCATATCAAGGATTCTGAGGGAAATTGGACAGTCACTGGAGTTTGTACAGGGAAGGATACTATGTCTGTGATGCAAAGGGATGGACCCACCTGTGAAGGATGAAGAGGTGCGCGGTAACATTGTAATAGAGCAGAAAAGCTGAGACCTGAAGTGGAAGATTCCTCCCATGGTCTGGCCAAACACACCACTCCATCACCCAGAGCCACTATCACAATGCTTATTTTCATAAACTCGCTCAAGACTAAATCACTTTGCACAATCTCAAATTCCACAAGTAGCTTCAAGGTAAACAGGTGAAGTCCTATTTCCCTGCTTCCCAGGTTAAAAAGAACCAACCAGGTGTGCCAGGGGCGGGTGCAGGAGGCGACCAGTAGCCCTCCCCTCCCACCGCCCCCTCCCCCCGGGATGTGCCTACCTGCTGAGAAGCCGTCCTCGTGGTCCGAGCTGTTGTGGCTGCAGTCACTGCCCCTCTCTGGCGAGCTGTGGCTGGGCGAGTCCCGTTCTGGCATCCGCAGGAACCTCTTGCGCCTCCAGGGGGGGAGGTGCTCACGGGCCCCCCGAGAAGGGGGGTCCTCCGTCGCCAGGGGCGAGGCCTGCCCATCCTTGGTCTCCGCCTCCAGCTGCTCCAGGTCGCGACTCCCGCGCCGGTGTCGCCGACCCCCAGGGATCAGATGCATCCAGCGATAGGGGCTGCTCGCCCGCGCCGGCTTTTCGGCCTCATCGCGCGTCCCCAATCGGCAGGGAGCCACAAGCAAGTGACCGAGGGCAAATTTCTCGTTCAAATCCACCATCTCGAAGTCATGGTCACTGCTGTCCCCCCCATCGTCGGCACCCGAGGCGTCCGGCTCGCCCTCCTCAGAGCCCCGCCCTGAGCGGGTCCCGGAGGACGGCTCCCCGCCAGGGGCTCCGGGAACTGTGCCATCGTGGCCCGGGGGCGCGCAGTCCTCCCGGGGCCTGAAGAGGAGGCGAGGCTGTATCAGCTGCTGGTGGATGGCTGCGGTCAAGCTGCGCACCGCACCCCCGCTCCTCGCCACCTCAGACCAGGAGGGAAAGTCCAGGCACACGTAGGGGGGCGTCTCGGCCTTTGTGGCCGCCTCTGCTTCAACGCTCGCGGGGCCCAGGGGGTCGCCGCGGGTGCCAGTGGCTCCCTCCTCCTTTAGCGGCTGCAGCGCCGGCTCCCGCCCGACCCGCGCCGGCTCTTGGGTCGAAACTCCCCCGCCGCCGCCGTCTCCTCCCTCCGCGCGCCAGCAGCCGGGCTCCCGCTTCTCGCCGGCCAGGGCCGCCTGCAGGTAGAAGACTTTGAACTTCTCCTCAGCCCACACCTGTTGCAGCCGTTTCAGGTTGAGTTTGCAGCGCTCCAGCTCCCGCTCTATGTCCAGCACCGAGTCCAGCTGCATGACGGGTGCCTCCTCCCCGGGGAACTCGGCTCGCCAGTGGCGCTCAAATTCCTGCGGGTCCCACATGCCGGACGCCCCCTTAGGCCTCCCGGGCCCGATTCCGCCGCGCGCCGCGGGCGGGGGTCGCGCCGCCCTGGGCCGGGAAGCCGGGCCTGAGCGGGGAAGCCGGGCTGACGCAGTTGCCCGCCCCTCCTCACTTCAGTCACAGACTAGAAAAAGAGAAAAAATAAAGTTTTCCCCTTCCGCCCTCAAGCCTTTTTTTCCCCTTCTGGGTTTTGCCTCCCTGACGTAAGCGGCCACCCGCGGTGGAGGCGGGCGCCCCGGGGCCCAGAGCCCGCCCCAAGCAGGACGCTTGGAACCTCGGGCTGTAGCCCCCGCAGCCCAGCGGGGCGCACCGCCGCCAGGGGCGT